CGCGCTTGGCTACACGTACGCACGCACACAAGCTGGATTTCACACTCATAGGCTAATGTCTAGTCTGTCACGTGGCGCAGGTCTCACGTGATTGGTGTTAGCATCTCATTGGTTGGCAATCTCAATCGGCTTTCTTACCTACCCAATCAAGGGGGAGCGCTACTCATCTCGTGCGCATGTGCAGCTGACAAATGCCGGTCGTGCCGCGGTAACACGGCCTACATGCGCCCGTGCACGCTGGCGGCCGGTTCGTGCGCTTGGGTCGTTCCCCCTCATTGCTTCCACGTTACCTTAACCCTCTTTTCTTTTTTGCTCATGAGGTGATCTGTCCTCTTAGCTGATGACCTGTGTTTCTTATACGATTAATCCAATGGTCGCCTCGATAACAATTCCGAAGGAGTCAACTAAAGCAGGATCAGCCAATGCAACAGTCTCGAGCGACCAACGCAACCGACAATCGGTGCTTAGGCGCGGGTGCGTCTCTACACCGCAGAAAGAGAGCCCTGCAATGAAGGCTGTTGCTTGCTCCTCTTCCCTTCCTATCAACTATCCTCGAAATAACCAAGCCTCCCCTTCTCTCTTCAACTACCAGAACTTGAATGTTTATGTCGTTGGCAATGTGGGCCACCCAAAGGCCCAAATTGTCCGTGTTGTCCACATTTCCGATACTCGGGGTGTAGGCGATTACTATGCTAAAGGCTTGCCTAATGGCCACATATTAATTCATTCAGGTGACTTCTTAGACGGTCCACCTTTGCGTCATCGGACGCCTCTGCGTCGGGGCTACTTTAGGAAGTCGCGAACAGAGGGCAAATTTTCACCATCTACTTCCGCCTCCTCATTCTCCTCCCCTTCCACTGAGGAGTGCGTATGGAAAGCTAAACTTCAATCTATAAACGAGTTTTTCCGCCATCAGCCCCATCCCTACAAAATATTTGTTTCGGGATGCTGGGATTACCTTGGTCCGGAGCGACCTTCAGCTGCCCAGATCCAAAAGTGTCTCCCCTCTGCCATTTACCTGGAAGATGCGGCATGTGAAATCCTCGGTCTCAAGGTATATGGAATTCCTTGGACCTCAGCAGACGATTTAAGGCCCGAGGACGGAAAATCACACTTCACGTCATCTATCGGAACCTCTAACGTGAAGACAATACTGCCTCAGTGGTTATTACGATCCTCTATGTCCTGGTCTCGAAGCCGTCGGCAGACTAGGAGACAAAGGTGTCTCTCTTCGTGCACTGGAGCCTCTGAGACCTCGACAACAGCGGCACAGGCAAGGACGAGGGAAATGGTGGTAATCAGAGGGAGGTCAAATGTTTGGCCTGCTTATCACAGCCCTGACGCCAGTAACGGCAGCTGTTCGTCCTCGACAAATGCTAAGGCAGGTGCCTGTGAATCTGGGTCCTCTTCCAGTTCATCCTCCTGTTCTTCATCCGCTTCCTCCTTATCCTCTGCCTCTGCGTCTGCCCTCTGCGATGGTTTCATCCTTCCCGATATTAAAGCGGTGGAAGAGCGTTATGCTCGGGTGCCCTCTGATACGAATATCATCGTTTCTCACATGCCGGCCTGGCGACCAGAGCTATACACGCACGTGGTCGACAGAATACAGTAAGTTGGTGCTTTTAATTCTCTAATTGACTAGTTGGTGTGTAGGTATGTCTGCGTGCGCAAGTGTGAATCATTTCCTTGTATTTCTTCGCCATTTTCCTTCCTCCTCCCTCACCACCGCAATGACGAATCGTGCTCCTGCCGGCTGTCTTTACAACTCCCAAGGCGGTGTGCCACTCCTCATCGCATTCACGTGACTTCTAGACTATACGCAGAAGCTTAGGGCGAGGAGCGCTAGCTCCTTTTCTCACCCAAGTTGGTTGTGTCAGGTTAGGAATGTCTTCAGTTATAAAAACCTAAAGACTACTCTTTTTGAAAATTCAGGCAGCACTGTTTTATTCGTTTAGTTTGGGCAAATTACCGTACTTTTTATTTTACTCCTCAAGTTATTCTGCTCTCCAAATAGGCGAATCATGGGGTGTCTTTCTTCATTTCATTTACATGCTTAAGTTGCCGGTCAGACATTTGAGGTGGATTGAAAGTGACTTCTTTGAAAAATTGGCTTCTTGAGACAAATTGGCTTAAAACGAGTCATTTTTAAGTCTGGTTTTCTGTCATGTAAAGAAGAAAATGCACATGCATTGAACACCGGTTTTTATTTGCACTCTTACGTAATTCTGTTCTCTTTTCTTTCTTGTCGAAGTCGGAGTGACGTTGTCGGTCAAATCTGACCATACATTTCTTCATAATAACTTATTTTACTCGGAACAGAGTGAAACGGAATTGTTTTTTCCGCTCTGTGTGGTTAAAAGCGCATGTCTCCAAGGCTTTGCGACATTTCCACTTTGGATAAGCGATCTCAGGGGGGGCGTAGAATTAAACACGACCTCAAATTAATTCTCAATTGGTATTTCAGGTCGTCTCAGCCTCAACTATGCCGTTTAGTCTTTTTTGCGTATGGCTTCGCATTAACTTTCTTCCCTGTTCAGCCTTCACACCACTTCTCTTCTCTCTAAGTTAACCGTGAGAGTTAAATATAAAAATGCAAATTTGGAAAAGTCACCGACAAGCGGGAATGACAAATGTGCTTAAATATGAAGTGTGGAGGAGTGCAAGAGATAGGAGAGAACCGGACAGACGATAGGATCTACGGGAGGCAGCAGCTTTATTTGGGTGAAAGGAAAAAAGAGGAGGTATGTTAAGGCTTAAAACGAAAGTGCGCACATGGCACAGTTAATTGGGTCTCACTGTTTATTCACTCAATGCCGTCGTTTCTCATTGTACTTCTATGACTAAATTTCACGCGATGAAGTAAATAAAACAACAGAAACAGACAAATGAGATTCCTACTCCATCTTTCACGAAGAACAAATGAGATTCGAGTTGCTTT